TCCTCATTCCATCTGAAAGAAGTCTCCTTATCTCTTGGTGGCTGTGCTCCCTGCACCGGGCTCAGGCTTGAAACAATACTGGAGACAGCCCTAAACTGGATTTTGTGGTTCCGGGGGAAATCAGGCCTAGAAATAAATTATACTCTTTGAAGCATGCTTTGTTTTTCCCTCAAAAGCTATAATAACCAGCTCATGCTGGGAATGAAATTTATATTATTCACAGACCCTGACCCTAAACCCTTTGGTGCTCTTATGTTTACTTGTCTTGTCTCAGACCCATGTAAATCAGTGTGTTCCTACCATTTGTTTTCTTCAAATTGTCATCTATTCTCTGTAAACATTAATATACTGATGTAAGGAGATCACCTGTACATTCCTGCTACCTATCCTCCACTTATAACCCTTTCAATAAAAGCCACTGGACACAGGAGCTCGGGACATTCTCCACTAGAGGGAATTGCCACTCCTTCTCCTGGCAGATGAGAAATGTCTGGAATGGCTTATTTTTATTCCCCAATCTGTGATGACCTGGAGCAGCGTCTACAGGACAGAGTCTGGATCCCTTGTCAGCTGGCGCTTGAAAAGAAACCTTAAAGACCTGTGCCACCTCACTGTATAAACAAAGAGAAATGTGTTATATGCACACAATGGGAGATTATTCAGTTTTACCAAGGGAAGTCAATTCTGCCATTTACAACATGGGTGGAGCTGGAGTACATTATACTAAATTAAATAAGCCAGACACAGAAGGACAAATACTTCCTGATCTCACTTTTATGATGAATCTGTAATAGTCAAACAGAGAAAACCAGGGAGTAGGATAGTGTTTCCTAGGAACTGAGTGGAGGAGCAAATGTGGAGGTTATAATTAAATGGTTCAATGGTTCAGTTAGGCAAGAGAGGTAAGTTCTGGAGATCTATGGTGCAACATAAGGCTTATAGGTATCAATATCCTATTTAACAGTTAAAAATTTGCTAACAAGGTAAATCTTAGGCTAAGTGCTTATACCATAAAAACATAAAAATAAAAAAATAAGGAGCAGGAGGAAACTTCCAAAGATGATGGGTAAGTTTACAGCCTTGATGTTTTCACATGTGTATACCTATTCCAAGCTCATCAAGTTGTTTATATGAAGTAAGTACAGTTTTTTGTATGTCAATCATAAGCTAATAAAATGGTTTAAACACAACTTCATAGTCTCACTGAGAGGGGAGGGAAAGAACATGAGAATACAAGTCACAAAAGAAGATAGCATGGAGTGGCTGAAAGTGTGGGGCATGGTCATCTAGAACTAGAATTGTTGGGGACTCTCACAGGGAAGGGGGATAAGAAATCAATACATCAAGTATGCAGTTCAATGGGATTTACATCAAGGGAAGTAAATAAGAAAAAGATCGTAGTTAATGCAATTGTTTTTGGTTTCAGAATAAGTAGATTGAGATGTCTCAGTCTTCATGAAGTCATGCCATACCTGCATCCCCACCTCCATCCGCAGTCACAAATCACACAGCTAGGGTGTGCTGGCTCAGCTCAGATCAAGTGAAGGTCTGGGTTGTGTTTCAGGTTTATTGTTTGCGCCATGAATAAAGACCAGAAATTTCCAAGAAACTAGCATAAGCTTAGAAGTCTGAGAGAGGCATCAAGCCAGGAACATAGAAGAATCAAGGTCCAATATCAAGGAGAGTAACTAAGAACAACATTATTGTGGCACCCATGGGGCAAGGATTGAAGTCAAGGCCTGGGGCCAAATGTTTGGAGCCAGGAAGCGAGGTCAAACAATAGCAAATCAGGCAAAGGTGAGGAGTCTAGAACTATTGTTTTGAATGTCAATTAGTGTCCAAAGTTCTTCTAATGTCAGTGACTTTCAACCTTTTCATCTCAATAATAAGCATACATAATTTATTAAAATTCTGTGCTATACTGTAAAATATATTTTTTGCTGATCTAATAAAAAATAGGCACAGTTTTGATTCATTCACACTGGGTGGTTATTTTTATGTTGACTCATCATTTTTTTATTTGACAGTCTAAGGAAAAAGAGGTCAGCGTCCCTGACTAAATAGTTAGGTATTGCATGTTTAAAAAATTGTTGTGGCACATTGGTGGAAAATCTCTGCCTTATGGCCTGGCAGTGATAAGAAATGTAATGGGCTTGCTGAGCTGGGAGTTTCAGCAGTGATGTGGGCAAGCAGCTGATTAACCAAATAGGGGCCACTGCTTAGCTCTCACGAAAGTGCAGATAATGAGGCCTATTAGGGGCTGCAGGTGTTGCTGAGGCTACAGTATGGCATCAGTAGCCAAGCAGCCAAAGAAACCATGTCATCATTCTAGACCTCATCTTGGAAAGATAGGGTGGTCCAGTGGTTGCCTATATGAAAGCCATTGTGATCATCATTTAAGATCTGATTCTTCTCACCTACGTTGGCATAACTGAGGAAAGCAAAGACTATCATTGGAACAGGAGTGTCTGGGTTGGATCATAAATAAAACTAGACTCTGTTGTAATGTGGAGGTAGTCAAAGGAAACACTGTATTCTTTACTGTAATGGGATCAAAGGGTAGTGAGAGGGAAGTATTCAACAGACTAGGAGATAGCAGTTAATTGAAGCCAACTTGCAAAGGAGAGAAAATATAGGGCTTCTGAAATAAGTCACCATAAATAGAAGTTTGTCAAACTATCAGAATAAGACTTGACAAGTAGGCCTTGTGTGGTAGGAGAGCAATGGTTCAGTTCAGCCTCCATGCTGATCTAGGTCTCTGGGAAGCACCCAAACAGCCTAGAGTGGAAAGGGCTGTGTTAATAATGAAAGAGCTTTATCATTTGGGGCACATGTCACTCTACTATGGGATTCTGCTTCAACAATTGCAATAAGGGACACAAAAGACCTTTTCCTACCAACTGAGGAAACCTGGCATTATAAATTCTACAATGTACAAGGAGATGCCGCAGAAGAATGAAAAGCAGGAGCAAGTCAGCACCACCTATGGGGTGGACAAAGGGGAGGATTGGAGACATGGGGCTGCTGGTGTGTGGACCTAGGCAAAGGGTTGATGCAAGAGATGAAGTCATAGGGATCTAGCAGAAAGCAGAGATGACAGCAACAGCAGTAGGGCAGACAACTGCCCCACAATCACTGGAAGTTGGAGTTCACTGGGTATTGGCTGCAATAGCGTATCAGCAGCTCAGGTGTCCAAGCTGGTTGGTGGAGCAACACCCAGGAAAACCCCAGCTAAGGAAGTGGGGAGATGAAGGGAAGAAATTTAAGGGAAGTCCATCCCACAAAAGACAATGAGGGGCTCTCTAATATCTAGAGCAAGAAGCAAAAGAGTGGCCCCTACCAGTGGCAGCTCCCCAGCCACTGTCCTTAGAGGCTCCTGCTGCCCCTGCAACCCATCACCTGCTACACCTCTGCCCAGAAATGTCAAGAAGTTCCCAGCTCTTTCCCATTATAAGGATAGTAACATTGATGTGAAGGATGAAGAGCAGTTGGCATAGGAGATCCTGGCTCTTGAAATCTGCAGATGTAGGTTGCTTTTGCAATGGTTGTGGCTCATTGTGCAATTTTCTGCTCTTCTCTGGACCTCGTATTCCTGGATATCTGTAAAATCCAGAACCCAAGGATGTGACTTAACTCACAGAACTGCAGTGTGGTGCAGGTGAGCTCATGGACTGATGATGCTTTGTATACCCTAAGGTGATATGTGTGTCCTGTTAGGAATACAGTGGCAGGTTTCCAGAACTCAGGTCGGGGCTGGGTGAGTGAGTCAACAAAAAAGAAAACCGCCCCTTCTTAAAGAATCCACAAAGACCAGGGTTGGGTGGCTGGGGTTGCAAGGCAGCATAAATAGCCAGTGTCTGCCAAGGAAAGGTTAGTTTGCTTGGAGATCCTGGAGTCCTAGAGGGAGCAATGGTGAGTATTTCTGTCCTTGCCTCTCATGCTGTTTTCCCTATGCCCAGTGACTATCACCCTCCCCAGGGGTGGTGTGTTTTACTGGTGTTGAGGAAAGCAGTAGCCTTTCTGGTCTAGGAGGTGTGGGTGTGGGCACAAGAAGGGGGCATAGCGGGGAAATAAGGAACACTCCTCTGCCCCTCACCCTGCTTCCTTTGCTCAGTGGAAGATTTGTCCAGAAAGCAAATCTTAGCTCCCAAGTCCCTCTCACATGGTAACTGGATGCCCTACTGGACATCTGTTCTTTCCTCCCCCTAAAACTACCCTGTCCCTGACTGAGCACATCTCCCACACCCCTCGACCCTGAGGCCCCTCTTCCAAGTCATCTCAGGTACACTGAGCAGGACCCAGGTGTCTCAGGGTCTCTCTACCTGCTAATATAGTATCTCTGAAAACTTTGGCCTGGGTTCCATCTTGAACTTTCCTCATGGAGAAAGGGTCTTCCAGGAATGGCCCAGTCACATGGTGAACATGCAGCCATGTACCCATCTTGTGCTCAGGACAAGTGTCACTGAGTGGCACTGGATGTTAGCTTCTCTTCAGACCTGCAATGCAGACTGCCAGTGCTAGTTCAACCAAGGCCACAAGTGACAGGAAATTGGATAGCCTTTTTTGCGCTAAGCCACCTGCCTTGTGATACTGACAGGGAGAAGGAGGTTCAAAGAGGGGAAAGGTCCTCATCAAAGGCACTTGATGAATCCTTCCTGATGGGACAGATGGCCTCAGTGAGGAGTTCTACAGCCTAGCCACTGTCACTGATGGTGGCAGTAAGCAAGGGAAGTCACTAGAAGGGACAAAATGGGGCACCTGAGAGGAGATAGCGGCTGCTGTGGACCTATGTCCAAGTTTCAGCTAGGTAGCCATGCCCTCCCAGGCCAGGCTGTGTGTCCACGTTGTCCTAAACTGCTTTGGGAGTCGTGCTGCTTGTGACCTCACAGAAAGGCAGAAGAGGTAGAAGTGCCTCTCCTGACTTCCAGGAGCTGGGCCAAGATCTCACCCACGTTCTAGAACCAAGAGCATGTCCTGTCTCTTCCTGTCCATCTTCCTAGGCCATGCCTCTCCTCCTCCTCTCCGTGCTGATCCTAGTCACTCAGCCTCTGAGGTCCCTGGGAACAGAAATGAAGACCTATACCGAGAAAACAGTGCCCGATGCCTGCACCCTGGTCCTATGTAGCCCTGTGGAGAATGGCCTGCCTGGTCGTGATGGACGAGATGGGAAAGAGGGTCCCCGGGGCGAGAAGGGGGATCCAGGTAGAGCTGGGACTGTGGGCTTGTGCTGGTGGGCAGGGGTGGGCATTGGAATCATAACCAACTCAGCAACCTGGGATGTTCTGTTGTGGAAGCCTTGGAAACAGACACCCAACTCCTTGGGAAGGAGAAGTCCCCTAGACACTCAGTCTGTCTAAAACAGTGCTTTACCAGCTGCCAAATGACTGGTTGTCCTGAGCCTCCACATGTCTCTCCACCCACCATCACCCAGCTGCCCTGATTTCTCCCCTAGGATCATTTACTTCTCTTCCCTCTCCACTCCCCCCTCCTCCCCTCCCCTCCCCTCCCCCTTCTTCTCCTTGTATCCTCCTCCTCCTCCTTCTTCTTTCTTCTTCTCCTTCTTCTTCTCTTTTTGATTTCATTTGTTTATTTTTAGAGACAGAGGAGGGGAGGGAAGAAGAGAAGGAGGGAAACATCCATGTGTGAGAGAAACATTGATCTGTTGTCTTTTTACACCCCAAGCTGGGGACCTGGCCTGCAACTCAGGCTTGTGCACTGACTGGGAATCAAACCAGTGAACTTTTGTTTTGCAGGCTGGTGCTCAATCTGCTGAGCTACAACAGCCAGGGCTAGATTTTGAATTAGTGTTTCATTGTCTTTGAATAAATACCCAGAAGTGGTATTGCTGGATCATACTTTTATTTTTTAGTTCTATTGTTAATTGTTTGAGAAAGGTGAGTACTGATTTCTACAGTTTCTGCACCAATTTACATCCCACCCACAGTGCACAAGGGTTCCTTTTTCTTCACATCCTCACCAACACTGGTTATCCTGTCTTTTTTTATAATAGCCTTTCTAACAGGTGTGAGGTGATACCTTGTGGGTTTGATTTTCATTTCCCTGATGATTAGTGTCAAGTATCATTTCTGATATAAGTTTCATTTTGGGAAGGGGAAAGCAAGGAGTCCATGATCAAGGGTAAATGCTGTCAGACTGCCTGCTGTAAATACTAGTGCTGCTCAGGGCTGGCATCCCTGGGCAGTGGGGAGAGTTGGCATGCCAGGAGGGTGCCTCACTTTACAGGAGGTGCTCTCTGTACCTGGTGAGGGTGCGGTATGAGCCATGGGGTTAGTCTGTTTGCAGGGAAGGTTGGTTGCTGGGTGATGGGGAAGGTCCATGTACAGACAGGGTTCATGTCTGGGTTCTGAACAGACTATGTGAGGAGGGTGTATTCCTGGATAGTAGCACAGACCTTATACTGGGAGGGTGAACATGCTGGGAGATGTGTGCAGAGCTCACCCAACTGTTCTTCTCTGACCTCAGGGCCTGCCGGAGCCATGGGCCCAAAGGGACCTCCAGGTGCCAGGGGTCCCCCAGGACTGAAGGGGGACAGAGGTGCTCCTGGGGACAGAGGAGAAAAAGGAGAGAGTGGGCTTCCAGGTAAGGCAGCCTCTGCTAGCTCTGGGAACCCCCACTGGCGGGGCAGGGGGAGGGAGGTGGGCTCTCTTCAGCCCAGAACAGCCCCTCCACTCAGTGGTCAGCCCGTTCCAGGGGTGCGTGAAAAGCACACAAGGCTGACGGGCTGGAAGGCAGGAAAATCGGGCTCTGGTTTTACACTCTACCACTTGGTGGGGGGCAAGCCCGAGCTGTTTTCCATCTGATCATTGGAACAAGCACAGCCCCCTTCCCATTCACCAGACAGCTTTGAGCATCAAATAATCCAGGGGGTGGGAAGTACCTGAGGAACGTGCAACCCTGTCTCCCCAACCCACCTCCCAAAGGAAGCATTTTCAGATTCTGAGAATGTGGAGAGACAGTGCCACCAATGTCAGTGGGGTGCAAGGACCTGCTCAGCGGGCAGTTTGTTCACAACAGCAGCACAGGAAATGTCATGGGCAGCAGAGCCAATGGTGTCAGCAGATGTGGGCTTCGTGGGGGCCAGTCCCAGCTCCTTACTGCACCCCAACAGTGCCGGCACCTGGGCACCATTCCCTTGGGGCCCAGACTCTGAGCCGATCCCTGCCTGTGCTAGACTAGTCTTCAGCCTCCCTGTCTCTCCTGCAGATGCCACTGCTCTGAGGCGGCAGGTGGAGGCCTTACAGGGACAGGTACAACGCCTTCAGGGTGCCTTCAATCGGTACAGGAAAGGTGAGTCCTTGAACCTGGACCTGACCCTGAGCCAGACACCTGGCCTAAGGCCCCAGACTGGGTTTGTCTTTTGGCTTGGAGTCGGCTGGGCTTGAGGCAGGTGTGGGTCTGGGATTGCAGTGGGTCGGGGTGATGGGCTGGACCTGGGCCTGGGGCAGGGAGTGGGGTTAAGGATAAAGGTGGGACAGAGCAGTGCAGCCACAGGTTCCTGGAGCAGGAGGTAGGTGCAAGGGACAAGTAGCAGGGTGTGGCCCTTATCACCAGTCTAGTGGGCTGGCAGAAGCATGGTCAAAGCTATCAGGCTCCAGAATGTCCCCAACATCACAGCCAACCGTGACCCGAGTCCCATCAAGGCCCTGAGCCCAGTGTTCAGCAGACCTTCACTCCTGCAGACCCTGTGTTTGTCCCTTTGATGTATAGGGACACCCAACCACCCAGGATGTGTTTCTTATCTCTGTAGGACTGGGTGTGGTAACATCCCCAGATGTCGCTGCCCAGCCCACAGCAGCAGAGATTGCAGACTCTGCTCTGAGAGTTGGGGCTGGGGTGCTGTCCTTGGTTCAAGGCTGGTGAGAGCCAGACTTTGGCAAGTGGCCACTGAGAATCTCATCTGAGGCATGCTCTGGGTCTGGCAGGGGGCAGGCTGCCTCTGGGCCCTGAGTGTTCGACGCAGAGATTCTTCCCCAAGCCTGGAATGCTGAGGAGTCTGAGGCCTCCGGGAGCACACATCCGAGTGCCCTGTGCCTGCGCCCTGAATCGCCTCCTCTCTCCTTACTTTGCTCCCCCTCCTCCCCTGCTCTCCCTGATGTCAGCTTTGAGTTCACATCATTCACCACACCTCATTGATCCAAAAAAAGAAGAGTCCTGAAGGAGGAGACCCACAAAGGGTGAGACATAGGGTTGGCTCCTCAGTACCTAAGCCAACTAAGTACCTGTGTACCAAGGATTTGCGTATGGACTCGCTCACTCCTAGGCACACTTATACAAACAGAGGGAAACTTGTAACATCCACCTGCCACACATATGTGCACTTACATACATACTGTCACTCACTTCACAGCTTCTACACACAGGAGTGCACACATGCAGGCACACACACTATTCACACACATCCAAATGGACCTTTTGGACTCCCATGTACATTCTGATGGAGAATGGCCATATTCATGTATGCACAAGTATGCACAGGTGCATGTAATGGCAGGTGATCTCTTGTGCTGGCTTTGCTCAGGGCTGCTCTTGGTGCCGTCCTGAGCCTGTGGATAATGTGTTCCCTGAGCCCTTGTGGAAGGCACTCACAGGTCAAGGACAGTGGGTTGGGGAGCAGCCTGGGCTCCTGACCAGGCCTTTGAGGTCAGGGCACAGCCCTCTCAGGAGCCCTGAAGATTTCTGTGCATGAACCCAGAAGTCAAAGGGATGGAAAACAAGATGGAATAAAAACAGATAGTTAAATGTCATATAGGTGATGCTTTTATAAAATATATTTGGACTTTAGAGATGAGAAATAAGAAACCCTGGAAAAATTGGACTTTGCCACCTGGGCAGTCATTGCCAAGGTGGGCTGAACACCTGGCCCTCTGATTCCCACACAGGGCTCTCCAGCTCTGATTCTTTCCCTGCCCCCAACTCCCCTGCACACAGATCAGGTGCCTTCGACCCCTCACCCAGCCCTCAGGCTTCACACACACGCACACTGTGAGGCCCGCACTGGGCGGCACACAGTGCAGAGGTTAGCACATTGCTGCTCTGAGATGGCCCTCCCTTTCCTCTTCTTTCCTACACCGCACACACAGCACAGGCCTCTGACAATCCCACGTGCACTGCTGTTACACGGGTTCAGAGTGAGGTCAGGGTGAGCACCTGCATTGTTTTCCATGGTCTCAGAGACTGCTCCAGGCTGCAGGCTGCCATTTCAATGGCCAGAGTAGGTACAGTCCTACCCAGTAATTGGCAAGCCAATTTTGGCATTTAGTGTGGGGTGAAACAGAAAGAGCATGTGTAAGCTTTAGTGTCAGATCAAATAAGGTTTAATTCTTAACTCTACATTTGATGGCTATGTGGTGTTGAGCCTCTTACTTAACTTTTGAGCCCAGGATTCTCACGTTTAACTAGAGCTACCTCATAGAGCACATTGTCAAGATGGGGCTTCTCCAGTACCAAATGTCTCACTTTTGTCCTATCTGGTGCCCTGATATCCTGTATGGGAGGCCTGGGGCTTGGTTGGAGCACAAGGGTCCGCTGCGTTTTGGCTGCGTGCTGACAGAACTCAGAATCATCTGTCCTCTTCTGTAGTGGATCTGTTTCCTGATGGACGAGGTGTTGGAGAGAAGATCTTCAAGACAGGAGGCTTTCAAAAATCGTTTCAGGAGGCACAGCAAGTATGCAGACAGGCCGGCGGGGAGTTGGCCTCCCCACGCTCTGCAGCTGAGAATGAGGCCTTGCAACAGCTGGTCACAGCTCAGAACAAGGGGGCTGCGTTCCTGAGCATGACTGACTCCCGGACAGAGGGCAAGTTTACCTACCCCACAGGGGAGACCCTGGTGTATTCCAACTGGGCCCCAGGGGAGCCAAACAATGATGGTGGAGAAGAGGACTGTGTGGAAATCTTCAACAATGGGAAGTGGAATGATAAGTCCTGTGGAGACAAACTCCTTGTGATCTGCGAGTTCTGAGCCACCAAGGGTGGGTGGGGCACTCAAGCCCAGGAGCCTGGCCAGTGAGTCAGGGCCCAGACCTGTGTGCTGCTGACGTCCCAGCGATAAGCTGACACCTCTGCTGGCCACGGCTTCTCCTCTAAGCCGTGGGATGAGGCCAGAGGTAGGGCTCCCTGGATCGCCTCTCTCAGAATAAAATACGAATCTGGCATCACACACTGGCTGACCTATCATTGGAGGAAGGGGCAGCCTGCTTTCCCAGTCCCAAGGGATAAAATTAGGTCTCAAAGACCTTTCTTCTGCAAAGTGCAATGGCTCCTCTTCAGCCCTCTGAGTTCTTGAACTGTCAGTCACATGTGACCCAGCTATGCAACATCTCCTGTGTTACTCTTCATCCATTTCACTTCCAAATCACCACTCTCGCTTGTTTTTATCCTTATGGCTGTTCTTATCATCCTCTTTGCTAGTCCCGGCTCCTCCTCTTGACCTCTTCATGGTGACATGCTCAAGCCTGAACTCCCTGTTCTCTTCTCTCCTTACCCTTAGTCCGGGGATGAGCTTGTTCTGTCCGTGGCTTGGAACCCTTCCACTGATGGCAGCCAGATGTGTGTCCCTGCTCTGGAACTGTCCCTTTGCCCCAGACTTCCTTAGCCAATGCAAGCTGGAGCCTGAGGGCTGGGAGGTTTCAGTGGCTGTGTCTTGCTCTAAGGCCACGGAAGCTGCACAGCACAGTGGGTAGATGGGGCAGGTCATCTGCTCCCTGGACTGACTGCATGGCCTTTCATCCCTTAGCTTCTTCCTCATCTTGCTACTGAGGACCTCTTTCTATCCGTGTCAGTATGCTTCCTGGATCATGGGACGGGGTACCACCTGCAGTATTCTAATTCCATCCGAAATCTCAGGCACAGAGGGTGTCCAGCCATGCTCACATTCTCCCCAGTCCTCCTCATGCCTGACTGTTCCAGGAGGTTCTTTCCCCACTTTACCTCAGAAACAACCTAGGTGGACCCCGTCCTCATTGTACAGATACGGAAACCAAGACACAGAGAGCAGAGGAGATTGCACGGGGCCACAGGTGGTATCATTGCTGCAGCTTCGCCATGTGTAAGGTCATCTGACTCCAAATCTTGTACTTTCAGTTTGCAATTTTTTTTTTTAGATTTTATTTATTTTTAGAGAGGGGAAGAGAGGGAGAAAGAGAGAGAGAGAAACATGGATGTGTGGTTGCATTTCGCGTGCCCCCTGCTGCGGACCTGGCCTGCAACCCAGGCATGTGCCCTACACTGGGAATCAAACCAGCGACCCTTTGGTTTGCAGGCAGTGCCCAATCCACTGAGCCACACCAGCCAGGGATGGCTTGTAAATTTTTAGGCCATAGGACTCTGTGTGTAAGTTGAGTTTAATGAAACTTGTGCTTAAGGAATTTGAACAACACCTGGATGAACCGTAAGCTCATAGGAGGGGGCAACAAATACCCCTTCCCCAGACAGGAAAAAACCACTCTCCTTCGCTCCCA